CAAACAATCCCCCTGCTTATCTTAAGGGAGGAGTGTGTGTAGGAAAAAATTTTTTTAATTCACTTCTTACTCCTCATCTCGCCCTCCAATGTGTCATCAGGGCTCGGTATATGAAGTGAAAGTGCAGACACTACAGGTGAATAGGATTTTTGTTGCTAGAACTTGAATTACCGCCCTGCGGCTGTATGCCTGCACCAACCAGTCAACTTGCAGTTTACATCCATGTCTGTCCAGACTCATATATGGTGAATACTTGTAGAGAATTGAATAAAAAGATATAAAGTGTATTTATCACTATATTGATGATACATATGATTCCAGTGAATATGATTCTTATAGATTATAGCTAAACAGAATGTATGCATGCTCCAATCTGGGTTGCACAATTAATCAAAATATTATCGCAAATCGCAATAGGCCAATTGTATTATGCAAATCGCAGAAGCTGCAATACTGTAGTTCTGAAGAGGTTTCCTGGTTCCCTAAAAAATCTCACATCACTATAAATGTAATCATTTTTTTCAGTAAAAATTACATTTGTGATGCAAAAATTAAAATTCTCATTAATAATATCACAATCGCAACATCTGTCGCCATACTGTCAACACGTGTGTGAAATCTGGAATCACCCAATTCATTCTTAATTCTAATTATGGCTAAAAACTATTTTGAGGTCACAGTCACCTTTGAGTTAAGTGTCACCACTTCAGTGTCCAACCAACTGTGAAATACTGTCATCAGTTCTTGGGTTATGGCCAAAAACAGGTCCAAGTACAAGTGACTGTTTGTGCCCAATTTGAAGAAATTCCCTCACTGTAAAACCTGACACCACATCTAAATAAAATAAGTGTGTTTAAATCAATTATTTCTCAAAACAAATTGGAGTCACTCATTCACATGAATTAAACCCAACTTAAAAATGAATGTTGAAGCAACTCAGTTGTTTTGAGTGAACTTAAATGTGTCCAGTATGTGTGTGTGGGTACAGACGATATGATTCCAGTTTGTTCCACTGACTCATTTTCTTTAAGTAGACTTTATATCATTATAAAAATGTAAGCATTATAATGCTGTATTGCATAGGATTTTCCCATTTTTGTTTTATTTCAGTTTATCAATCAAGCCCAAGTATGCATCCGAATAATACTCAAAGATTGCCCAAAGTGTAAAGATTGGTAAATTTAAACATGGTGGTAACATTTCTATAAAGAAGATGCATTTAAGTTACATTATTCAGATAAATTCTATTCAAACATTTTAAATAAGTTTGGAGAAATGAGTGTAAATTCAATGAAATGAATAGAATTGGTACAATTAACTTTGAATTAACTATATTTTATATCTTAAATAAACTTAAACAGTTTAAGGCCATCGGTTTCCTCAAACAGTGGGGGGATAACTACCTCAGCAGGTTTTACAGTGCTGGAGACGTTCCTGAGATATCGCACTCACAAGATTGAGACATTTGTTGATGTCACAATGAAGTTGACCTTGGATATAAAATGTCATCATTTCATCATTTTATCCTATTAGACATTTGTGTTTATATGAAAACAAACCATCAACTAAAAATGGAATGCACACAGAAAAGTGAGTACGCCGAGTTGTTGTTTCTTTTTATTTATTGCTTGAAGGCTTCATGCCACTGTTGTTGTTGTTGTTGTTGTTTGTAATGTTCAAATGTTTTTAATGAAAGGAGTGTATGTTGAAGTGGGATGTGATTGTTTTGTTTTACCACTGTAGCGAATTGGTATCAACTACTAAATTTCTGTTATGGTGACGTCCCCAGTTGGTTTGATACCTAGTGCCTGTCACTGACATCACTCCTCTCATCTGTCCATCCTTTCATCTACTTCCTCCCCAGCAGCAGTCAAAGGACTCTCTGTTCAGCTGGGCCTTCCAGATGGGACTCGCTGGGCTGACTCACGGCCCCACGTAAAGATGAGAGCCTGGCAATAATCATCACCTCCCCCCTGACTCGACCACCGACATGAAATATTGAGCTTGAGATTAGTGTCAGACGGGAAATGGGTTGAGATGGTCATAAACCTCAGTGGCAACTAAAGGGTCAATCTACTCCTCCTTCAGCGGTCTTCAACGTCACAGAAGTCCTCCTCCTGCCCGACTTCTGCTCGGCGGAATGACCTAGCGGCACAGGTGACACATAACCTGAGGCTCCCACTGAGCTGATATGTTAGACATTAAAGGTAATGATCCCCAAACATGATCCTCGCTTCCCCACCCCGCTCCTTCCCGGGACTCGGTGACCTGCAACCTGAGCTCAGGTGAGGGTAGAAAAGCACAATGACACCATGACATCAGTCAGTCAGTAGGTGAGGGGTCTTTCCAAGTACATTTACTCAAGTACCGTACTTAAGTATCATTTTGTGGTAATTTATTTTAACATTTCTATTTTCTGCAACCTAATATTTCTACTCTCTTACACTCTTACATTACAGATATTGTACTTTTAATTCCACTACATTTATATGACAGCTTACTTTTCAGATGAAGATTACAACACGTAATAAGTAGGGCGTATAAGTAGGAGTATTGGCAAGACGCTATCAATACATATCACGATACAGTGGTTACAATTCAATATATTGCGATAAATTGCGATACTGTAAGCAAGGCCATAGTTTGAAATTCTTTTTAAATCAAATGTTAGGTTAACTGTCATAGTACAAAGAACACACCACCACATGTTTAAAATCTTAAGCATGTGGTGGTGAGAGTTTAAAAAGTTGACTTATAATATTGAAACGATACAATATCACAGAACAAAATATTGTGATAGAATATTTTTTGATATTTTCTTAAGTAATAAGCTTATATATGCAACTGATTGTTCCAAATTAAACCAGTGGTTCCCGACTATTTTGGCCTGTGACCCCTCACATAAAAGGTGTTTGTATGGGCCAACTTTCAGATATCTATGAGAGACGTTTCCCCTCTAAACCTTTCAGATGGTGTAACTATCTTAACTGGTGGGCTGCGACCCAAAAGTGGGTTGAGGACTTCACTACAATCTGATGTCTGACTTTCATTTTGACAGAAAAGCTTCCACAAATGTCAGAAAACAACCCGTTTGGCAAACCTTACTTTACACAGCAATGCAGGACGTTTGATTCATATTCATAAGAATCATACTCAGTTTATTTTTTATTAGTAAAGTGCCCTGATTGCAGGGATTAAAATTGCTATATTTTATGTTAAAAAAGATAACACTGTATATATGTGTATGCTAGCCGTATGACTGCTCCATGTGTGTAATGGCAGTTCAGGTCCCAAGGTGAGACCAGTTGAGAACCACAGGTGTAACTGAAACAACTGTTTGAGGCCCAGAGAGCTACACAAAATAAATTTAAATGGTTGTAGCAGTGGTTTGTTTTTTCTTCTCTCCTTCTACATTAATCCTCTCATGGCCCCTCAGAATTATCTTGTGGCCCTTTGGAGGGGCCCAACTTTAAGGCTGCAGGCACGAGTGGACCAAATCTGATATGTGACTCAGATCTGTTTCTCCATGACAGTGTGAAGCACAAATCACATGGAATCTGATCTTTTCAATTCTGATTCAGGACCACTTTCATATGTGGTCCAAATCAGATACAGGTCTAATTCTTTGCAATGTGACCTCAGTGGGAACAGTCATATCTGAATTCATGTGACTTTTATGCCATTCTACGCTGAAGTTTTTCATGCAGGTTTGTCTTGCAAACAAAAACAAAACCAGATCTGAGCAACAAATCAGACCTAAGCACTAAGGCTTACAGTGTGAACAGTGCCTAACTAAGCTGGACTAAACTAACTGAAAGTAAAACTGGTCCAGTATGCAATGCCATCCATAGCACTTATAGATTAAAGGTTAAGCTGCAAAGTTCAAACAGTGACCCTGGTCCAGTATCAACTTGTACAGTGTGATGTAGAAACTTGAATCCACCAGTGCACATCCACTGAGAATGGACTTTACAGTGAAGTAGGAGACATCTTGTGTCCAGCAGGAAAACTTTAGAAATCAACAACATTTAAATATTCAGAGATTCTGGAAGTTTTAATGAGGTAGAAGGAGGAGATTACTGTTTAAGGATTTTAATGTGGAAATTTTATATTTTTGCAGTAAAACATTTCAGACACACATTTTTGTTCCAAGCAGACTGTTTGTATATATGTCTTAATACATGTCTGGAGGGGGTCCTCATGGATCTGAGTACCACTTCTTTCCAGCCTAGAACAAAGCTAGTTACTGTATATTTACAGAGCCTATACCCTCATAAAATTCATTTGCAGTGTGAGGGTGTGTGGTGCATTTGTCTGCAGGAGGTCACTGTAACACTCCCACGGAACCATTGTTCCTACAGACTTTCTTGCCACAGCATTTAATCCTGTAAAAAATGTATTAATGCTCAGTCTTGTAGAGGGGAAACTAATCCTTAAGGAGCTTTTAATTGCATGTTGCTATGAGTCCCCACGCTGTTGCGTTCACTGTCACACGGAGCAGAAGCAATGGCTCACGAGTCAAAAGTTCGTGTTCACCTCTGCACAGTTATCCCATCATCTGAGAATGCGGCGCGGCTGCTTTGTAACCCCGGCAAAAGGAATGTGAAATTACGCACTTGTGACGCGCCTGAAAGGACGATACATGACGGATTATCATCAGCAGGCGCGTGCCACAGGATGCGCTGCTGTCACAACAGCGTCAAATAAACACCCGCACGGCCCGCACGGCCCGCAGGACGCAGGGGAGGCGTGGGGTTTCTACGGACATCACCGAAAGGTGCGCCGAACTTTTACTTGCCGGAGCAAAAGCAAACGTTTCTGAGGACTTCTTTAATGTTTTACTCCAGATTCCCTCAAGAGGTTTTGCACTTGTTGAAACATTTTACAAAATGAGCAGAAATATTTGGCAGTGTATTATCTTACACCAATATTTGGCCATCTTAAAGAAAAAAGAACCAGTATGGAGCCAAAACCATCACGTCCTGTTGGGATTTCTTTACCTTAATGATGCTGCTCCGGCGCGGTGCTGCCTTCACGGAGTCCAGGAGGATGGTGTCGGTGTCCTGGCCGCCACCGGGGAGGATGACACCGCTCCGCCGGCCGCGGGACGCTCTCGGCGGGATGCAGTCAGGCGCTCCGTCGCTGCACAGCCCGTCTCCATATCCATCGCGCTCAGACATGTCGACGAGGAGGAAGGAGGGCTCGATTTAGAAAACACCGGGAGATGAAGATTAATCAAGTCGTCGGATCTGACCCGAATAAAGTTTGACTCGGCGGCGCGCTGGTGCCATTTAAAGGAGAAATGGGTTCTTGCTTCCCTGAAGCATCAGCTCTGTCACACTGGAGGGAACTAATCACCCCAATTTGCTTAATTATGAGCAGATTGTCATAGTCACTGAGCGCAGAGCCGTGCTGACTTCAGGCAGAGTGTGAGCTGGTCTCCACAGTCCATCCCCGCTCCACTAAGCGCCTCACTGTGGAAATCAGAGCATCGCACGCAGGTATCGACTTGGATGAAAACTGGACTGGTGCGCTCCCCGGATGCGCGCAACAAGTCTTCACCGCTCCCAGCCTCGCTTGTCCCCGAGGCGACCAGGGCACAGTTAGTGCATCCAAACCTCCCGTAAAGCCTCAGTGCGGGACGACGGACGGAGAAAGCGAGGTGGTGCTGGTGGAAAAATAATGTTTGAAAACAACCCAGGGGTTGGCTACGAGGCTCCTTTCTCCCCAAAACACATCGATGTCAAAGTGCACGGAGGAGCGAAGTTGCGCTGCGGTCGGCGTCCAGAGGAGAGGAGATCCGTCCCTGCGTCAGCGTGGGGCGCATTGCTCTGACCACACACGGACACTACGGGCGTCTTGGTTCTGCTCGGGGCAAACACAGCCGACTTTTGACGAGAATAGGGAACACAATTGACAGTCGCACCGCCTCTAGCCCGCCACCCCTCCTTCCACACAGCTCCTCCCACATGCCGCCCGAAATCATGATTGACAGGCGGGGCGGCCTATGCGCGTGGCTGCTGGGAGATTTGGAAGCAGTCAGAGGTCCTGATAGGTGGAGGGTCGAGTCCAGAGACTGAGAGAGTCTCATGGTTTTTTAAGACCATGGACCAGGCTGTGGGGAGCAGGGGAGGGGGGGGGGCAGCTACAGTGCAAACATCAGGATATTGTTTACCTGCATTTGGAGAATAATAATTCTCTTCGAGAGGATGAGAATACAAATTCTCCCAGATCTAGAAACCCTTTATAGACCACCACAATAACATGAACCCTTATTTATTTATTTTTTCCTAATTAATACTGTCTCCATTCATTTTCTTATTTTCTATATTTGGCACTGGACCGTGGAACGCATCTAGAATTGGTCGGGCCCATAAGCAATATAGTGCCACTGCTGGATTATTTTCTGCATTTCATTTTCAGTAAAACTTTAAAGATAACAAAGTGTTGGAGGAGGGCAGTGCCAGGCCACCTGTTAGCGTTTAGATTTATGTCACATGACACAATTAGCCAATACATTTTTATATAGCAGAATTTGTTGCTTTTTCTTAGGCTGTGGTCACAGAGTGTGATATATGTTGCTACCATAGACTGTATACTTAAAAAAGCAGAATGTTTGTTATTTTTTTTTACATGTTTAATGTTGAAAAGTTGGTAGGGCTTGAGCCCTACTGGCCCTACCAGTTCCACGGTCCTTGCTGATTACAACTGAATTTGCGATTACAAACTAATTTTAACCTGCTTAAAGGACCAGTGTGCAGGCTTTAGTGGCATTTCGCAGTCAAGTTTCAGAGTGCAACTAACTGCCACTAGCCACAATACTTCCAAAAACAAAACATAAGGCCCTATCTACAGCCAGTGTTTGGTTTGTCCATTCTGGGCTACCGTAGAAACATGGCGGTTCAACATGGCAGTTCAACATTGCGATCCCATAAAAGGAAAAAAAAGCTCATTCTAAAGTAACAAAAATACAACAATTCTTATTATCAGTTGATTATACACTAATGAAAACATTCCTATGAATATTATTTTCCATTTCTCACTATTGATCCTCTGAAACGTTACACACTGGACCTTTCATTTTTCCCTCATATGTAAATGTTTACTCCCAGGAAGAAGAAAAAAGAAACTGATCTGTTTTGTTGCCTTTAATGGATAGTGACAGGAGAGGGGGGGAGAGAGGGGAGGACACGCAGGAAAGGGCCACAGGTCGGATTCAAACCCTTGGCCGCTGTAGCAAAGACTCTGCCTCAGTACATTGGGTGCCAGCTCTACCAGGTCAGAGCTATCCAGGTTCACCATTGATGCATTTTTTTGACTTACCTCTAAACTCTAAATAATCAGGTTTGGACCAGGGACGCATACAGACATCTTGAGATGCTGTTGCTCTAACCTGAAAGAGTAATCCTAACCCTGCTCCAAGATTAGTTCATGTGATTGCAGAATATAAATATGCCAACTGAAGCCCTAATATGAAGCAAACATAGCCAAACATAAAGTCTTGTCTTAATAAAAGAAAAAAAGTGAAAAACACTGTCTTGTTACTGCTAGTGCTAGACCTTTACATAACCATCAATAGACATGGATAATAATGGATGAGCATCTCAACAGTTCCATATCCAGGATGACATTAGGTCAGCTGGTGAATGGAATGGCTTGGGAAAACGTACAGAAACGCTAATAAATGAAATTACAAAACATGACATTATCAGAAGATTGGAAAAGGACTTTTTTCAGTCAAAGCCATATCTTTAAGGTTATATATATATATATATGATTTAAAACATTAGTATAGCAGCAAACAACTATTTGCTATGTAAAGATATAGATCTAGGAGTCATGGTGTCCTGAGCATAGAATGGCATCTCATCTCTTGCCTATTGCAATATCTTTGTGCTTTGTTTACAAAGCCAGTCTGGCTACGTGTACATTTTAGTGCATGTGAGTCCTTCCGTGGCAACTCAGCAGAGCGACTGAAACTGCTGTTTTTCTCATCTACATCTGTGAACTGAGAATTTATTTCCACCAAACCAGAGTTGGTGAATGTTGGAACAGTGGAAAGACTAACAGAGGTGGTTTTGGTGACTTTTATTTAGTTTCTGTCCACTTTGAAGTGTGTTTTACGATTATCTGCTAGGTAAAATTACTGGTTTTGTCTACGGAGTCTGGTCTGCCGTAGAACCCATTGTTTTTGTCTGAGACGCTGGTGCTCTAGAGCAACCTCTAGTGGCAAGGGAATTTCAGATATAAAACCTTTTACTTAACACCAGGCTGGTTTGGTTGAAAGTTTTATGCCTTTCACCTCTAATCACATCAAGCATCACTGACGGGGTTGGTCAGAAATATGCTTTGTTCTACACCCAATAGTGATGTCATCAGTTCCTGGAGTCCTGTATTTCACTGCAGATGGGTGAGAAGTTAAACTACTGAGATTTTCTTATGATATTAAGTTGCTCTTTAAAAAATGAAATGTTACTTCTTCAACTGTAAGCAAGAGTTACACAAAGCATCAAACTTTTCAAGGACAGCATAGCTTTGAAGAAATACACAAATACCCTTCTTTGTTGAGAAACTGTCTTTGTATCCTCTGAACCTGTGTGACTTTAGATGTCTGAGGTGCACGTCTGACCTCTGAACTCTTGTTATTGTCCAGTCGGCGTTGGTTCACAGCGACAGGCTGACTGGTAAAGATTGGTAGGTTGTGTGGAGGTGTAATAAAAGTGTGATACATTATTCATCACTGTTGCAAAATTGCCTTTTCTCTCTTGGACCCCTTCCAGGGGGGTCAGAGATCAGGGTCAGAGAGACAGCAACACCCCTGGAGCTGGCAGGGATTTAGTGTCTTGCTCAAGGACACATCAGCAGGGTGGAGAAACACTTGAACCCTGGTTGTCTCCATAATGTACAAGCTCTCTAATACAATTCCCCATCAGGTGGTAGGCCTTCTTCAACAGCTGCTATGGAGTACATGGAAAGACTCTTTTGAGACACTTTTGAAAAAATGTAAATTATTATTTGGTTAAAATGTAATGTATTGTATTGTAAATGTATTATATATCCACATATATGTGTTTAGATGGAAAATTGCAAAATGTGCAAGGTTGACATTAGTAGTGTATTTTTCACAATAACCCAAAAATGATTCGCTAAAATGGGATGATTTAACAGGATACACCAACCACAGTCAGTTGTATCCATAGACTGTACATTTAAAAATGGCTGTAGGTTTCTGAAGAGCCATCAGTGTGGTCAGCTCTGGCCGTTGCTTTCTTGGCAGTCCTAACTCTGCCAGCTCCCAGCTAATCCAAAAATGGGCAAAGACATGGATCTGAGGCGGGCTGAATGAAGCCTGGTTACTGAAAAGAGAAATCTCTGATGGCACCCATGTGAACTCAAAGCAGCAACTCCCTTAATTATTCATACTTTTATGAAAGTTTTATGGAAATTCACCCCTTGTACAGTTGTCATACAAGGCTGTAAACATTTATTTATTTATTGTTTATTTCTGCTGTAAAGTTAGACATTTTAATATGGCTCCTTATAGAGATTGACTCACTTTTGGAGCCAGCCTTAAGTGGCCGTTAGAGGAACTGCAGTTTTTATTACTCCTGTGTTCATTTGCAACCACAGAGGTTGCTGCTTGGTTGTAGCAAATTAAAACAACTTACTGCAATTAGTTAATTTGAGTTCATTCAAATAAGTTAGTACACAAGCAGAGAAGTTAAAAAGCTAAATAAAAGCTGTAAACAGTCTCCAGTGTCTAGCTGCTCTTAGAGCCTGTACTTGGGCACAGCGGTGCTCTGAGCTAGAAGCTACCGTCGCTATGCTGAAATGCTCACAATGACTGTGCTAACATGTTGATGCTAAGCAGGTATATTGTTCACCATATTAGCTCGCTAACATTAATTAGCACAAAACACAAAGTATAACTGAAGTGGTTAGTTAGTTTTGCTCAAACCAAACATAGAGTAGGTGGAGTACTGCCAGAGCGCACCGGCACGACACTCCTCCACTTTTTTTTCCCATGGGAGTAAATGAAATATACAGTTGCATAAGCCAGTTGAAATTCAAATAGGCTACATGGCCTTTCCGCATCAAGTCCGTATTTTTCGTATGTGGTTTTTTAATCCGTCATCTGATTAAAGTCCAATGCATTTTATTATTCTATTATTTCCCAAATTCATAATATGAGATGGAGTCATTACGCAGTGAGGATGATTTTGTCGTCCTCTCACTTGAAATTAGAAAAGGAACAAGAAATTGGGTCCAGTGTTTTAAAAACAAGAAGAGTTTCACCTGCTGATAAAGGAGCTGTCTGCTCACTGCTCTCGCTCTGTCTCTCACTCCTTCTCTCTCATTTCCTTCCTTGCTCCTCTCCACTGGAGGTTCCTCCGCAGGCTGTCACCACTCTCCGCCCGCGTCTTGCATTTGGCACCGTGGCTACCAGAGGCTGAGCTGTCCTCCCTCTCTTTCTGTGTGCTTTTCTCCCCTGACTGGTTGAGCCTGTTCCAGAAAACTTTAATGACAGACAAACATTTCGGAGCCAGCGTGTAAAAATAATTGACACAACGGGAAGTCGTATTTATTTTGAAATGTGCAACAATTTCGGACGGAAAAAACGGACTTAGTGTACAATAGCCTTAATGGTCAAAGTTTTCATATTGACAAGGTGTATTGATTGATTCATGACATCAGTTCATACATTGAGAAACATGCAAGAAAACATTCCACCTTAAAAGTCGCTGCGGGTGGTCTAGTAGAGCGACACAGTGAATTAAAAAATAATTCAGTCTATAGTTAGTAAAAATGAAATAATTCCTCATCCACCCCTCTGATGGTTTCTTTATTTGTGATTCATTTACAAAGCCAGCCTGTTAAACTTGACCAGCTTGTGCTGCATACACATTGCCTGCAGGAAATGAAAGCTTGCTTGGTTACGTTTAC